TTAAAGTCTGGGGACGTGGCTCCGTGGATAGTGTCTGCTCTGGATCCCACCTCCAGCATCTAGCACTGTGCATGCTGGGGGGGGGGGGCTGGTACATGACGTCAATCCTGTCTCTTACGAGGCAGAAAGAGCAGAAATCAAGGTCATTCTCTGCTTCAAGGAGTTGAAGGCCAGACTGAGACACACGAGACCTCATCTCAAAGGCTTCTGGAACTCGCATGTATAATAAAGTCTATTGACTTATTTCTAAGAGTCTAGTTGAATTAACAAAGTTTGTGTCTATTCATCTATGACTTCAGGATAGTGTACTCTTATGTGTAAGCACCTGAGAGAGTATCACATTGTAGGGTTTGGGGGGGTCCACTAAACAAAATGTTTGTCTTCTACAAAATATGTGCTTTAGTAAAACAGGATTTTATTATTATTATTATTATTATTATTAAAAAGCCCTGGAATTTGCTCTGTAGACCTCTCTCTTGTCTCTGCTTTAGAGTCATGGAATCATGGGCATGCACCACCACACACAGCTATAAAACATGGATTTCAGTTCATGTATGTCTGGCTCTCTTGCACTTAGAGCAACACTACCTACAAAGTAGGTCCTTCGGTTTGGAAAGGTGAAGACCAGGTCTGCTGCAGAAATGCTTATCATTCACTGAGCCGGGCTGTGCCTAGCCTTGTCCTAAGATGTGTGTTCCCATGAGTTCTCAGAACCATCCCTACAAAGTAGATGCTATCCTGGCATTTTATCTGAGAACACTGGGACCCAGAGAGGTAAAATAACCCTTTCCAAGTGCAGCTCTGACTGATAAGGCCCAGGTAGACCCATTCTAGGACACTCCAGTTTTCCATGGTCCTTTTAACACTTGCTACAATTGAGGCTGTCCGCTCCAAAGATCTTGCTGCTTCGGCAAGGCCTCATGCCCCACCTCTCACAATAGGGCAACACACACAGGCTCTTTGGAGCACAGGCCCTGAACACAACACTGTTTTCTTCAACATCAGATTGCTTAAAAAGATCCTTGTCGTTGCTACTGCTATCATCGGTGGGCTGCTGCTGCTGCTGCTGCTGCTGCTCCTGCTCCATTCTGTTCTGTTCTTGTATGGGTTCCAAACTCACTGTGTAGCCAAAGATGAACTTAAGCCCTGATGCAGCTGCCTCCACCTCCTGGGTGCTTAGATTATACATATGCACACCATGCCTGACTCATACGGTTTTCAGGATCAAACCCAGGGTCTCCCACATACAAGCCAAGCATTCTCCCAAAGGGCTCGGCTCCCAGACAGGCTTTCATGCGGCACAAAATGAACCAAGCAGGCTCTAGTGTGGGAAAGCACGTGCAGCCTTAATCATAACCCAGGGTCTACCACTGCAACCTCAAGCACACGAAGGGACTTTACTGTGGACACACGGCCTCCCTCTTTGTGTAGAGAAACTCAGGGCTAAGGGGGAGCTGGCAGAGGGCCAGTGACGGACATGCGGCCATGGCCAGAGTTGCATTTACCCTAGGAAAGGAAAGCCAAGCTAGGCTAAGCAAAGCCTGAGCCCTCACCTAAGCCTCAGTGGGCAGATCTTCCCACACTTTGAGAGGTAGACCTTGTGGGTAAGCATGGTAGAGGAGATTCAGAGCAGCCAAGCAAATCCATACAGCCCCAGAATCCCCACATTCTCGGGTTAACAACGGGACTTCACCCGGCAGCCCCAGCAGCCCGATTGGCCATGGCAGCATTTATTGAGTACTTACTGAATCCTAGCTCACCGGAGGGGGGGGGAGAGGGAGTTTCTTTCCTTTTCTTGTTTATTTTGTTTTGTTTTTTGAGACAGGGTTTCTCTGGGTCGCCCTGCTTGTCCTGGAACTCGCTCTGTGGACCAGGCTGGCTTCTGCCACCCTAGTGCCCTATCGCCCAGGGTTAGCTCTCTTATGCACATTTTTCTCACTTCGTCCTCAAGAAACAAGGCAATTCACCCCAGATTTACTAACGCAGAAAGCTGTTCAAGGCTACATGGGCTCCTTCCCAGAAGAATGCTCCCTTCCAGATCTCAAATTCTGCCCTCTGTTCAAAGCCATGAACTATTTATCTCCATTCAGCTTTTAAAGAAATAAAAATCCTCTTTCTTTGGCTTTGAGGTAGAGTCTTGAAATAGGATGGCTTCAAACTCTACCAAATAGCCAAGGGTGACCTTGAACTTGCAGCCCTTCTGCCTCCCCGAGTGCTGGGATTGCAGGCATAAGCCACCACGGCTAGTTTTTAATGTGGCACTAGAAAACCAAACCTACAACTGAACCCTCCAGGTGAACACTCCCCTTGCCTAAAATGAGATACTGCAACACATCCCTAGCCCTCAAAAATCATACTTCACTATTCCCATTCTCTCTCCTCAAGACTGAGTAAAGAATTCACATTTGGCTGAGTGGTGGTGGTGGTGCACACCTGCCTTTGATGCCAGTGTTTGGGAAGAGGAGCTGGAAGATCTCTGTGAGTTCAAGGTCAGCCTGGTCAACAAAGTCTGGGACTGTCAAGACTGTTACACAGGGAAACTCTGTCTCAAAAAAAAAAAAAAATGAGGAAAAATAAAAAGGAATTCACATTGGGGTCAGCAGGATGATGGGCCAGTGGGTAAAGGAGCTTGTCACCATTCTTGATGACCTGAGTGACCTCCACATGTGTACACTTACAATTAGTGTACAAAAGATAATTCTTTAAAGAATTCACATTCTGACTTCCGGACATTCGGACTTCAACTAAACCAGGGTTAATAAAAGTAAAAACTAAATGCACCTCACAATAGCAACTATTGTGTTAGCATTTCAATGAGTCCTCTCAGGTCCTAATCTGAGTTCTTGTAGAATGATCGGCATATTCAGAGGAAAAAGCCGCTCCTGAAGGGGCATGGTAGGCGAAAGCAACTTGAGAAAGTTGTTTCCATTCTTACTGAACACAGGAGGCAAATCCCTACCACCTTCCTGTATCAAAACATGTTGTGGTAAACTGAACCATAAGAAACCTGAACCAGTCCGTTGCACACAGCACACCGCTCCACCCTCAACAATCCAAGCACACAAACTAGCCCCAATACTCATGGGCTTGTGCTTTCCAAGTACGCTCATTCGGATGCCATCGGCCCTGCATGATAGGGTGAGGACATGAGAGGGAGTCGTCCGTGCATCCACAGACAAGACGCATTTCTGTCCTAGTCTCCGTCCTCCACAGACAGTGATACCCACAAGATTGCCCTGTGCTTTGTTGTACTCGGATGATGAAATAGAGCTGGCTGCTGGGGTTTGACCACTGCATTTTACTGTTTTGTTTGTTTGTTTTTCATTTTTGAGAAGGGTAAAATGTCTCCTCGAGTGCAGACTCTGACAATACCTGTTACCTGGCTTCAGAATTTCTGCAGAATGATCTTGAAAGGTCCAGCTTGCAAGGGAGAGGATTATTTTCTTGCAATGTCTGGTTCTTAGCCCATGACATATTCCCGTGTGACACTTTTTGGATCTGATCAGCTATGTTCTGACTTATTGGATAAATAACAGATTCATGTCACATTAAAAAAAATAACAGTAAAAATCTGAAGAAAACTATTGTTGCTTCTCTAAGGACACAACTGAATGAGAGCAGTTTCAAACACTCCAACTGCTCTTTGCTCTTAACCATTTCACTGAAGTCTAAGTGCTGTGTAAGTAGTTTATATACTTAATATGCACAGTGTGATCAGTGGGGTATAAACATTCCTTCGTGAAACCATTGCCAACATGGAGGCCACCGACATACTCATTGCCTCCTGAAGTCTCCTTCCTCGGACTGATTGACTGATAGACTCACACCAGGGCCTCCCCCAAGTGCTAGGCAGGTGCAATACTACCCAACTGCATCTATCTCCATCCTGTATTTAGAACACTTGAAATAAGACCTCGCCTGTTAGAGCATATTGACAAATATGTAGTGAAGTTTGGTAGCTATATATCCAAATCCCCTGCATAAATCCCTGGCATAATTCCTTTTCCTTGAACTAATCTAAGAAACTAATCAGATTTTATAAACACGTGAGTATCTGCCGAGTGTTATTGATAGTAGTTTAAAAAACAGAAACAATCTTCAGGGCGGTGGTGGCGCACAACTTTAATCCCAGCACTTGGGAGGCAGAGGCAGGAGGATCTCTGTGAGTTTGAGACCAGCCTGGTCTACAAAAACTAGTTCCAGGACAGGCTCCAAAAGCAATACAGAGAAACCCTGAAAAGCCAATAAAACAAAATTAAAAAACAAACAAACAGAAACAATCATCAGGGCAGTGGTGGCACACACCTTTGATCCCGGAACTCAGGAGGCAAAGGCAAGCACATGAGCCAGCCTGGTCTACAAAGCAAGTTCCAGAATAGCCAGGGCTGTCACACAGGGGAACTGACTCAAAACCCTGCCCCCCTCCCCAAATATAGAAATAGTGATGAGAGAACAAAGTTATAGCACCACATTACTACATAGGTGACGTATTATATATAGTCGCTAATATTGTGTGTAAGACGGAGCTGCCCAAAACTACGCAGGGTCCAGTAACAACAAATCATGACATATTTGTATAACACACTACAGTGTAATGAAAACGAATCACAGCTATGTATAGCAATATAGGACAAATGATACCTTAAGCACCAAAAACAAAAAACTTCATATAGTTACATTATAATATTATTTCATGGCACACATATGGCACAAACAAAAACATAAGACTACGAAATGACAGACTGCGTATACAGCTGTGGTGAGGGTTGGCCCTTAGAAGACATGGAAGGATAGAGGACTTTGTAATGTTTATATACTTACGTGTGCATTACATACTACAGACTAAAGAAGACAGTAGTTAGAACTGACCTGTACTTCTAGTGACACACAAAGATACACTGTTTACTGAAAAAAGGCTATGAACTGGAATCTAAAGCATGCACTTTTTCGAGAAACACATATTTCATAAAGGGACGGCCACTTAGGATAGAAAATAAAATACTAACTTTGGCTTTTCACAAGGAGTCTAAGTAACAAGCTAATTTTGTTTTACTTTGATATTTTCCCGTAGCGAACTTCTCTTGCCACGACCTTAAATCTTTATAAGGCATTTATAGAATATTAATGCTTATCCCATTGCTTTTTGGCTCTTCCCACCCCCTCCCCCCAAATGGGAGGGTTTTTCCCTTGACAACATGACCAAGCACCTAGCTTGGTGTCCGTGTACTCACACAATCCCCAGAGCCAAGTGATCACCACCCCCACTAGAAAGGCTCACGTACTTTTCTGAAACTCTTCCAGCTTTTTAACAGCTTCATCTCGTTCTTGCCTAATCTTGTCACACTGAAATGAAAAGCAGAAAAAAATGTTAAATTTATCTGATGAAATTTGACTGTGACAGGGCAAGAAGCAAAAATAAGCTTACACACAGCAGTGGCACTCATTAGCCTTTTTTTATTTTCCCAGACACAATATTTGGGGGGGGGGAGCTGGAGAAGCAGCTCAGCAGCTGTGAGAGCATGCTGCTACTGCAGAAGACCCCGGGCCAGTTCCCAGCACCCATGCCATGCAGATCACACGTGACTAACTCCAGTTCCAGGGAGACCTGGTGGCCTCTCCTGGCCTCCCAGGGTACTACTTAAACACAATTAAAAATAAAATGAATTTTAAAAATCTTTTCACAGCCCCAATACTACTGATGTTGATACTACTCACACAACAGGAGATGCACACGTTTTTTTTTTTTTTTTTTTTTTTTTTTTTTTTTTTTTTGTTTTTTGTGTTTTTTTAACCCAGCTGAGTTTCTAGGACTTCCTAAGACAAGAAGTCATTCATTACTCATTATCCCCTTGGCAACCAATTGACTATCCTTAGTTAAAACGAATTCCTCCTTTAAGAGAATACATATGGGGGGCTGGAGAGATGGCTCAGAGGTTAAGAACACTGGCTGTTCTTACAGAAGTCCTGAGTTCAATTCCCAGCGACCACATGGTGGCTTACAACCATCTATAATGAGATCTGGTGCCCTCTTCTGGTGTGCAAACATACATGCTGACAGAATACTATACATGATAAATAAATCTTAAAAATAAATCTTTAAAAAAAAAAGAGAGAGAGAATACATATGGCCAGCTCCACAAAAGAACCACTGAGCTGTCAAAGCCAGTCTTGGGTTAGGTAGGGAGATGACTTGGTGTTAGATAAGAATGCTGGCTAGGCAAGCTTGAGGATCCCAGTTCAAATTCTCAGCATCCATGCAAAAGCTGGGTATCAGAGGATGGAGACTCTGGAAGAGCTGGAGGAGAGTGACAGAGCGTGACCCCTGATAGTCTCTGCTTCCTCCGTGTCAGTATGTAGGCACCTGCACACTCAGATGCTACACACACACACACACACACACACACACACACACACACCTCTGTCTGCAGGATACACCCATTAAGGGGACACCACACATGTAACAGGTGCACAGGGCTGACCATCAGAATCCAGCGTGGCCCTCTCTCCCCGTGAATGAGCCGGGTTGGACCAAAGATTCTTTTCATCCGAAGACACCCACCCTGTTCAGGGTTTCCCTGTGGGAACCCACCCTCTGTAAAACACAAACCACCTGTCTCACAGTTTCCGGAACCATACAACCAGCAACTGCAACACTGCCAGCCAGCTGCGTCTGGAATGTTCCTCTTACTTTCTGTAACTGTCTCCTCCCACCAGACTCCTGCCAGGCTGCCCAGCCCACTCCAACAATGCACAACAGGAGACACAAATAGAACCCAAATTTCTGATGAAACCAGAGAACTCCAGTCATGATCACCTAGGGCATCGTGGCTGGTGTTTACTTTCTCACTGAGTATTTCTGTAGAGGTCTTACAGTGAACTTGTAAGATGGCCACATACCCCGTGGGCGTGGCCTCAGGAGACAGAAGGGGAAGCCTGAGGAGTGGCTTTCCTTAGCGCTTCCTTTCTGATGGGCCAGCGGATATCACCATCTATCCTTTCTGCAAGTACAAGGTCCTCAGAAGAAGATTCTTCATCACGAGACGGTGCTCCAGGGTGATGCTATAACCTCAAGTCATTTGAGGCTCCCAGTCTGTCTCTCAGAATTCCGTTTAAAGTAATCAAAGGTGTATCCGGTCCCCACTTATGTGCTCAGTTTTCACTGAAACTTGACGAGAATGGGAAAAGGGATCGGCGCTCAGAGCTCTACCTAGTCAGACACCAACTACCAACAAGCCTCCCATTTCCTGGTTAGAAATAATACGTGGCCTTCACGGGCAGGCCCGCTCCAGCTGTCCAGAGGGGAGACTTGAAGCCAACGCTCACTGCTCTTAAGACCCAGGTGGACACTCTGATTAATAACAACAGATCTCAGTCCAGGGTGCAGGGGAAGGATTCTACAGAGTCCGGCAAACGATAACCTTTAGTTGTCGACGCAGTCACAATCTGTCTCCCCAACCCCAGCTGTGCTCTGTCTCGGGGTCTTCGTGTGGCTTTGCTTTCTATTTTCTGCCACCACATTATGATAGAACTGGCAGCCACTGAATTTACCATCTGCTACGTTGAAAGGCTGAAAGGGTGGGAGGGGTTACACACTCGGCAAACACAGCTTAGTGAGCCCACGCCAGAACTGATGGTGTACCAAGCAAGAATGCAAACACCCACTTATGACATCATCTCAGGGGAAGCCAGAGACATCCGGCCACCTTTCTCCCCATCCACCAACACGGAGACGTTACAGGGAACGCCGAGTTTCATCTTCGTGACACAGAAACACCCCCATCCATCCCACCCTCTCCTCTGCCCTGCCCCTGCAGCTGTGCCATCTGTAAAGACTTCTTTTTTGTGCTGAGAATTGCTCATGGAGACTTTGTAATAGCAACAGATGTTCTTTGGACGACATCACTCAACAGCTCAAGGCTGGAGCTGAACCCAGCGGCCTGAGTGCTGGTTGCTTTAAGCAAACTGAAGAAAATTCCAGCTAGTCTGCAGACGCTGCTTTGACTCTTAAGAAAGTAGCAGGTTGACTGGAGGTTGGTTTTGGTGGTTTCGAAGGCCTTTTGTGTGAGAAACCCAGGCGAATTTCCAGACTCCGTCATTAAGGCTATCTCAGCCGGTGAAATCTCACCTGGATCTGAGAACAGCGGTCGACTGGGCTGCAGTGGTTTGTCCTTCCAGCATGAACTGGCACCTTCCCAGCTCCCCAGCTACCCATCAGCCAACACTGTCGACATTTCTTTATCTGGGTTCAGTAGAAGCTCTGAACTGATGTGGAGAAGATTTATAATCTGCTGTGTGTGTCTGTGATTCATGCAATGAGAACCTCAGCATTCCAAATTGTGTCTGATTTCCACTAATATCTTATCATCTGGGCATACACATGCAACTGAATGGTCAGCTAGTAGAAAGGACAGTTTGGAGCCCACACACTGTCTCCACACACCTTGAGGATACAAGACAACAGATGACCGTTGACTGAGGTGGAATTCTGAGCAATTGTGTCCTGGAACCACTGGACCACTGGATATTTCTGTGCACCGGACAAAACTAGGTCCAGTGCCAGACACCGTACTTAACACCAACAGGGACCTGGTAGGGAGCAGCCTAGATTCTGTAGTTTCACAAAAACCAACAATGAGAAGAGCAGGGTATAAGGACCAAGGACATGAACTATAAGACAGGAAGACTGCAGACTTGTGGAGACAGAATCCGGGCAGTTACACCGCCAGCAGCAAGGTTTAGCCCCCACACCAGCTTTTGCAGAAGTTCATTCCTCTTACGTCCCAGTCACACCGTTTATTTTAAAATGGAAACTTATAGAGCCAGAACCAGACATCGGTGCCCGCTTTAGAATCTTCGGTGGGGTAGCGAGAGGAGCATCAAGTCTGTTGTTCCGTCTAGGTAAGTCTGGCTTCCCGGGCCTGCGCTCTCTGGATCTATATAGGCTTGCCCTTCAGGACATCTAATCATCCCTCTACATGGGATCCCTCTTTGGAGTTCTTCTTTTCTTCCAATGCAAAAGTTCTTTCCCTCCAATTTTCACAGGCGATAAAGGAGGAGTGCGTGCCCCCCCCCCAAGCTGTCGTGCAGCAGTCTCCAAAGTCGGGGTATTGTGTGTGAGATGGAAACACATGTCATCAGAACTGAGACCCTCGCTCTTTGTTTCTGGATAGATTGCTGTTAATGAGAGACTCATTTTCACTTTCAAACTGCTAAGTAATTACTTTTTCTCTGGCACAACCACTTGCCACTCCGTCTCAAAGAAGCCACATGTATGTGGATGTATTATGCATGAACAGTTAGCATAATGGATGCAGATCTTGCTCTTTAGAGTGGCGTCTGTATTGATTTTTTTTTTAAAAAAAATAAATAAATAAATAATATACTTGGGACCTTCACCTCTGAATATTACACGAGAGGATGAAATTGTAACAATAGACAACCGAGCCAAGATGCAAACACTATCGTATATCTTGCTTCTTGAGACAAGTCTTGGGGAAGCGTCTGCCTGGCTCTTTTCATTCATTGTTCCTGGCAGGCTGACAGAGCTGTCTGATGCGCGGTGACAGCAGCTCACCCAACCGACTTCTGCTCAGCCACTTAAACATTTATGCATTTCAAAACTCAATCTCTGAACATAATATTAAACACAAATACTATTTAATGGTAGACATTCTTCTATTATACAGATTTCCTTCTCTCTCTCTACACACACACACACATCACCAACTCCCTGAGAAGTATGAATGTCATACCATTCAGCCCCATAGGAAAGGGAAAGAAAAAAAAGAAAGAAAGAAAGAAAGAAAGAAAGAAAGAAAGAAAGAAAGAAAGAAAGAAAGAAAGAAAAATCCAACCCTAATCGGTTATGACAAAGATTTCGAGCAAGTTACAAGAGACGGTACTTCGATAGCAGCAGGTGACTGGCATTTCAATATGGTGATGGCCATACACACTAAAGAAGATGTTTTGTTCAGCTGATCCCAAAATACACACTCATCTATTTTTGTGTGCCCCAAATACAGATTTAGAGAGTTTGTTAACACCAACGTGATAGGTCCTCTGCCTTTCCCCCACATACTGCTTGCTTGCAATGCCATTTGGAAAATGGGCAAAAATAATCGAGACAAATAGAGGCCATTTCATAGTCCCGCTTACAGTCCTCATAGTCCCTCGGGCAAAAGACCAGAAGACATACATAAACAGTCTCGGGGTTTTTATGTTTTATTAGAACCCACAAGACTTGCTTCTTTCCTATTTAGTGTGGAGATAATAATAAATTCTCTTGATGGATGTGACGAGCACAAAGGAATATACAGATGGCTTCTTATAAAAAAAAAAAAATTCTACTTGCAAGAGAGCTAGAGGAAGAAGGCTTAGAGATAAATGACATTTAAATCTGTTGTTAAAAGAGACTAAAAGTTTGCACGTGGGAAAAAGCAGGGGCCATTTCTGTTTGTCTTTTCTCATCCCGCCGAAGCTGCAGAGTCACACAACAACAATGGCAGTGTCACAGCTATTTGTGGCCCCTCCTTAGTGGTTTTACTGGAAGGCAAAACCTCATCTATTTTCCTTTATGTTTTTGGTGGCCAGAAGGCATTTGGCCAAAGGGTTTTTCTTCAGTCACGTTCCTTACAAACTCAAACAAATTCTGATTCCATCTTCAAAGACTTATATAAAATCCACAAAACGGCCAACACCCATTGCCATTGCCAAAGTGGGCGAAAGGGCTACGTATTAAAAAACAAACAAACAAAACAAAACAAAAAAAAAAACAGTTAAAACACTAGTCCAGAATTGGGAAGACGGCTCATCAGGATAGAGCAATTGCCTCTTAGCCTGATGACCTGGGCCCAAATGGTAGAAAGAGAACCCCAGCTGACTCCAGCAAGATATCGTCTGACCTCCACACATGTCCTATGGCATACACACACACACCAAATAAATAAATAAATAAAGCAACAAAACCCCACCGGCCCACCCCTAAGTCTCTTATTTCTATTCTTTGAATGCATGGTGCCAGGATTTGTATGTCCACACATACATATGTGAATGCATTCTAATAAAGGATTGATTTGATACTTAAATTTCAGCTTTTCAATACAAACCAACTGATGGTATAGTCATAACCCAGAAAAAGTATTGCATCTTGTAATTTAATCCGTTGTGGAAAATTCATACATTAATATTAAAAACATAGCTAGAGAGATGTTCGGTCAGGAAAGTGTTTGCTGCACAAATGCGTGGACCTGAGTTTTATCCCCAGAACCCAGATTTTGCAAAAATTTGGGCATGGTGGCACACATCAATGACTAGTGGATCCCTGGGGCTTGCTGGCCCGCTAGCCTAGCCTACTTTGTGACGTTTCAAAGCCAATGAGAGAGCATGTCTCAAACCAAAAACAGACAGTACCAAACAGATCACACCTGAGGTTGTTCTCTGACTTCCTCACACACACGTGTGCAAATGCTTACTTGCGGGTACACACATACGCACACACTTATTAAAATAAAACTTGGGTCTTTGTGGAAAGAGGCGATATACTCTTAAGTTTCCCTGCTTGCAAAAGAAGCATGGAGGGCATAAGACCCAGGTTTACATCCAGACTCTGTCACTAATTACCTGTAGGTTCTCAGGAAACTCGCTGCGCCTCAAGTCCTTATGTTTGCTTGAGTAAAAGGAAGCTAAAATAGTCTGAACTGCTTCATTATGGAGACAAGAGGTCAGAAATATCCCATAACAGTCTCTAAGTAAGGAGACTTTGAGTTCCTGCCTACTGCGAACCTACATCCATAGGGACACTGCAGCATCCACCAGAAGGTTCCATCCGGAAGAACCAGATCTGCTGTCTGTCCCCATCATGGTCTCTGGCCTGGCCACAAGGACAAATAAACTTGCAGAGACACAGTCGTCGGGAGTAAAATACCTTGCCTTTTTTTTTTTAAAACTCCTCCCTCTATTTTGCCAAATTTCCCTACACTGAACCAACTATGAGGAAAAGGAATTCTTCCAATGACTGCCCACAATGGGTTTAATTTAACTCGAGGCTGGGACCCCACAGAGGAAAGATGGCCGTCTGTATTTGTTGATGTAGACTGGAAAAAGCTCAGGGAGCCAGGCACAAGAAAGTGCTTTCCTAGGAAAAAAAAAAAAAAAACAGTGTCCTCCATTTGCCGCCTCCGGAACTAAAGCTGCTTTTACTCATTCTATGTCGTATAAAAGGCTTTTATTATATGCTTCTCTCCTTTGTAACAACCCGCACCTTGGGGGAAGAAACTGCAGTAATAAGCAAGCCGGTCTTTTAATAGAAGGTAAACAGAGCAGGGTAGATCTAAAGCCACTCACACCTCTTTGTTTTTCCACACGCACAGCATTCCATACTGCTTTCATTCCCTTTCTTCTCGTCCCTGCTAATAGTTATTTTTAAAGAATTAGGACAGAAACAGGTCAATAACGCCTACAGATGCTGCAAATGTGTCAGGCCATCTTCCGCCTGGAGAAGAAGTAAACTGTGTACCGGGCCGAGGTCATTTCCAGTCCGTCTTTTAACCAACCTATAATCCCATGTGCACAACAGACAGTTCTCTGCAAACCCCACGGAAGAAAGTGGCTCTGAGTTAAACAACTATGGTCATGTCAACAGGGAGAGCAGGTGTTTACAGAACACTTTTGTTTTTTTTTTGTTTTTTTTAAAGGGCATTTCCAGGTCTATAGATAATCATGGACTAAGAAACAGAAAAGAGAAAACAAAACAAAACATGCAATCTCCTTCCTCTGTTGCAGGGTTTTCCTTCTCTTCCGTCCTCTGCTACATGGAGACACACCAGGTTTCTGTCTCTCCTCCTCTCTTACTTAAACATGCTTTTCACTTATTCTAACTATGTGTGTCCGGCACATGTATGTGTACATGCGTGCATGTCCCACAGTGGAGATCAGGAGGCAACTTTGATGAGTCAGCCTTCACCTTCTACCGTGGATTCCGGTGATCAAACTCAGTGTTTTAACCTGCTGAGCCACTCTGCTTCATTACCTCACATATTTGGATGAGGTTAAACCATCCTCCTGCATGAACCCCTCCCTGAGAGCCCAAAAGCAGGCCCAACGCAGACACTCCATCGACCTCCTCCTGGAGCTGAAGTCTGATCATCCCCAGGAAATTAACTTTAAAATTGTGAGATACCACTGCCCACGGCCTAAGCACACCCCCCTCTGCACTACTTTACATCCCTGGGACTTCTGTGTTTGGGGGAGTTACGGTTACAGAACTAAAAATCTACTTTTCAAACTACTTATCCATGGCCTTCTTGCCTTAGAAAGTTGTGTGTATCGGTTCCCTTTTCGAATGGATTCTTTAAAATAACCCCCCATCTCCTACCATTCCCTCGGTAGCCTGAAAGAGGAAAGGAACCAAGACTTCAGAGACCTCCAAAGATGAATCTATAAAGCACAAGGAAGGGGGGAGCAGAACGAGCCCAGTGTTTGAAGACACTTGTGGCTCTTACAGAGGACTCCAGTTCGGGTCCCAGCATTCACACTGGATGCCTTACAAACACCAGGAACTCCTCTGCTGGCCTCCTCGGACACCTGTACTCACATGCACATACCTACTGACATAGAGGCACACCACGCATATGATCAAGATAAAATAAATACTGTTAAAAGCCTTAAAAACTAGACTTAAAATAATGATCTAAACAGCAGATGTAATTGTATGTGAGCTAAAGTACTTGCCATTACTACCACCAGTCAAGCTATGCCTAGGTGGCTGGCAAATTTAATGACTAAATAAGTCTAATATGATACTTAAGAGCTCAATAAATTAAGTCCAAATATGATACAGATTCCTATAACTAGTTGGCTGCCTACTAAATGCTGTTCTAAAGTTAGGAAGATGAGGCATCATCGTCTCATTCTTACTTAAAAACACCTCAGGCTACTTTATTTATTTATTTTCTGCCAGGGATACGTTTTCAAAAGCATTGTGACTATCTTATTTGATGAAAGTACTTTATTTAGTGATTGTAATTAAAAAATATATTGACCTTTTAAATTTGTATGTATAATTTTCATTCATGTTTTAAAACAAATTCATAGTCTGTGTTCCTCTATTTTTTGTTTTCTATTCTTTTTTACTTTTCCCCTTGGTTGACAGGAAGGAAAAGAGATACACATGCACATACAGGCATGAGCATGTTACAAATCTCTGTCTGCTCTCTGATACAGGATCTTAGTCTGCAGCCCAGGCTAGCCTCAAACTCATGGCAATCCTCCCGCTGTAACCTCTCCAAGTGGTAGGCTTACAGTCCTGAAGCTCTCCCATATGTGGGAATACTCACAGACCTTCAGTAAACATTTTTGGAGACAAAAAGGAACACAGATTACAAAAGCAAACAGAATTCATTTATTTCATAGTTCAAAACAAAACTTCCGTATCCTGTGAAAATATTCATCACGCTTCCCCTGTACTCACACTGGGTGTTTTTCAACTTCTGGTTCATTATTCACACAGACAGCAGAAGCAAACACACAAAGGTGTGTAGATTACCAAAGCCCAGGTCCCTGCAGGCCCCAACAAGCCTGGGTGCTAGAAGCAAATGTCTCCGGCATTTGAGTCGATCACCAGCATTCCAAGTGTGACTACTGGGAGAAAGCACACCTCTTGAGGACTTGTGTGGCTTGGCATAGTGCCTTGCTACACATTTAGCTGCATATTTATTCTCCCAGGGCTATGCCTACTGTGGCATGCCTGCCATTCTTACCACTGGGAGACTGGAGTTGATATTAGCTTGACCCACACATGCAAGAGAAAAGATTTAAAAGAAAAAAAAAACAAAAATAAAAACAAAAAAACCCTCTCTCATTCACACTTAACTGAAATTGGTGGCGGAACAAGGCAATATGCTGCCTAGGCATTCAAGCTTGTAAAGAAGGGGAGGGGTACAGTACGAACCTTCTCCTTTGTTTTCTGGTTCTCTGCTCGAAGGTCTTCATATTCGCCTATTGCTAAAAGGAGAAAAAAGAAAAGAAAGCAACATTACAACTCTCAAAAGTTCGCTGTGGGAGAACCTGTGAACTCAGCTGACCCCGGTAAATCTTCACAAAGTTCAGCGGAGTGGAGAGACCACCACCAAAGGGCTTTTGCTTCCCGGTCTCTGCACATGTGAGCCCACCACACTGACCTTCAGCTCTGCCTGAGCCATTAGGAAGACCCACAGGTCTGCCAGAAGTGAGCTCTCCTAGCACTTGCCTTGTGAGAGCACTAAGGCGCCTGTCGTCCCTCCCAACACTATCCACCTGGGTGACATAATCAGATAGAAACGGAAAACCTTCATTTCACCAAGGTAAGCGTGCAGATTCCCAGATATGTGCGGAAGTGTGCTCACAAAGTAACATGAACCCCCAAGCTCATATTTTAGTAAAAATGACATTTTTAGGCCTATTGCAGTTGAGCCTATGAAGTTTGGAACGATGACGTAAGGTGACAAAGAGGTCAGCGTAGTTTACCAGCCACTGGGTATGACTGTCCCTGAGATAGAGGGAAACTCGGCTGTGGCTGGTGTGTTCACCTTTGTAAAACTTTAAATTGAGATTTATCTAAGAGTAGCTCAGTTTTCGTAATAGGAAAAAAAAGTTTCCTGGGTCTATTAATAATCTGAAGACAGAAGTAGAAGCCTGAGACCAATAACTTGAATGGCGTCCCAGATGGGCACATGGCATGGTGACACATACCTGCAATCCCAGCTTTAGGATGACTGAGGCAGGAGGAGCCACCCTGGCCTCAACAATCCTGTCTCAACCTTCCCTCCCACCTAAGAAAGAACAGCCACATAACCTGGTCATCAGCTCTAGAAATGTATGCTTCCCATAAAGGCAGAGAATAACCCCCAACACACAACAAACACTTAACCTGGTAAGGGACAAGCTTCCATGACCAAAGGTCTGGGGACACTTGCTGTGACCGCAGGGCTAAGACTGCAAAATAAGCACTAAGGTTACAAACTTACAGAAGCCACACACCCAGGACAGTCTTCAGGTATTAGACCACTTACAAAACAGCTCTGAGCACGCACATAAAGATGGAATCCCAGAGAAAACCTTTAAATTGTCAACAGGGAAGAGCTGATAAATCACAAACTGAAACCCTCTGCCCCCCGATCCTCGTCAGCGCCCACCGCACACACTCCAACGACTGACTGGGAACCAAATTGCCCTAGGATCTAGAAAATCATTGAAACTTGCCACCTTTAACAGAAACAAACAAAAACTAAGCAATTTATAAATATGCATTGGTGCTATTGGGTAGTAGACTTACGGTCAAGGCTCCAAACATCATTAGACTACCTACCACAGTTCAAATGATAAAGATAAGAATATTTTATTGACAGACTTTGACTTAAATTACTAGGCATTTAAATGCATCTGCAGGGCTGAGCAGATGGTTCTGCTCAGCCATGCAGTATGAAGAATTAAGCTTGAGTCCCCAGCACCTACATAAAGATGGGCACAGCACCATAGTACATCTCTAATGCCAGCATTCCTAAGGAGGGATGGGAGGTGCGTCTCTAACCCCAGCATTGTGGCAGGTGGAGACAGCAGCGTCCTTGCTCACTTGAGGGACAGCTAGCTGACTGCTGTATGTGCCTGGGTCTACACACATATACGTCACACATACACTTTTTTTTTTTTTACCTAAACAGTTTTAAAGTATCTATAGATGAAATTTAAAAATCAAAATTGGGACCACTGAGATGGCCCGTAACCACCAAGCCTGAAAACCTGAGTTCAATTCCCAGTGTCCACATGATGAAAGAATGGAATCAACTCCCAGGCTGCCTTCTGACTCCCACATATGCATGGTGGCATGTTCACGGGCACACGTGTGCACATGCGCGCACACCCACACAATCAAAACTGATCTAACACTGTATTATTAGTGACATAATTTACAGACGTACATATAAACGGTGATGGCTTATAAAATTATAATCTCGTATTGACATCAACAAATAATTTTTTTTACATTTACGACATCAAATAATGGCTTGAAAAGCTTTTCTAAAACACACCATGCTTCCATTATATTCCAATAGACTCAGACAAAACACAGTAAACTCCTAATTGCTGGTTTCTTTATTAAAGCATTAATTAAGAACCCTTCACCTATAATATTTTAATAGAAGCCACAGAAAAGACACTTTCTTATAACTATGTGCAACTGTAACAAAACAGTTACTTAAGTAAGGGAAAATACAGAAACAGTATAATGACCTTGGTCACAGCCCATGGGTAGCAGGGGAAATGAGGCACAAAAAACAAAGAAAATTGTCTGTTTCTTTGAAGTTTAAAAAAACAAAAAGCTCACTCCCAAAACAACATTCATACACACACTCAAAATGCATGCATACGGATATGTATCATCCTGATATAGGTGTGTTGCTATCATCATCAATGAAGCAGCCTCCATTCCTTGGGTACTTCATTTTTTCAAATGGGGTGTGTGTGTGTGTGTGTGTGTGTGTGTGTGTGTGTGTGTGCGCGTGCGCGCGCGCACCTGTGCAGTTTCCTGCAGAGGCCAGAAGGGGGCACTGGATCACCCAGAGTAAGGATCGGGGTGGTTGTGAGCCACCTAATGTGGGTGCTGGAAACCAAACCCAGGTCCTCTGTAACAGCAGGAAAGGCTCTTAACCTCAAACCCATCTCACCAGCTACTTACTTCTCTTATGGCGCGTTAAGAGGCATTCTTTTTCTGCTCCAGAACTGGCTAGCGGTTTGAAACATTTGAAGCAAGCGTGCACAGCTCAAGAAGGTTGGCAATGCCTCATACAAATGAGATATGTCCCTTCCCACACCTCAGTTTACCAGCTTCATGTATGTCACTGTGTCAGACAGAGCAGTAATTAAATGAGCACATGTTGTCTGGGAGTCCCTGAGCAAGTCAGTCAGTCCATCTCCCTGAACCTCTGCCTCCTGGTATGGATGTGGCAGTCTTATCCTGGGGACTAAATGAGTTAACATGCTGGTGTTGTCCAGTGTCAGCCATGGTAATTGCTACCAAAACTGCAAAGCTCGCCACATCCTGAATGAATAACAAAACGATGTCCTGGGTTTCAGGGTTACTTTTACCCCCCCCCCCCCAAAATGGCTGACTGGAAGAAATCTGGGAAAGCAGGAGACTACTATCTCCAACAAGCAAGCTAATGTGCTAAAAGCCCTTTGTCACAGTGAATCCTGGCGGGGCTGAGGAAGCATGCCAGAGAACCAGGCTTTTCAATCCTAGAAGCACACTCGAGCCAGCTGGAGAGTTTGGCAATCACTGGCTCACTCCCCACAGTGGGTGCCTCTCCCACTTCAGGTTCATTTACCAAGTCTGGGGTGGTGTTTGATCATCCTTACTGTTTTGTTTTTAAAGGCAGTGTAATCAGTGTGAGGAACAACCCGCTAAACAGTATGAAAGAGACAAAAAAGGAGGGGATGTTGGAGAAACAAGGAAAATATCGGGCAGAGCATGTGTTTCAAGAGTCACGCTGATTTTTCATTTCCTGAATTCCTAACGCTAAAGGAAGCCATCTGTAGCAGGCTTTCTCTTTGGGCCGCCAACCGGCTCCCAAATAAAGACACAGAGACTTACTACTAATTATGAATGCTCAGCCTTTCGCTTATCCTTGTCTCACCAGCCCTTATAACTTAATTTAACTTGTTTTTTTAATTCGTCTGTTACGAGTAGTTTTTGCCGCCAGCCTGGACCCACCACGACACCAGCCCCAATTAACACACAGAGACTCTGTATTAGATATAACGCTGTTGGCCAGTTACTAGTTTCTTATTGGTTAGCTCTGTCTTAAGTATTAACGCATTTCTATTAATCTAAGTATTTCCACATGGTCTCATCTTACCCGAGAGTGGGCCAAGACCTCTGTTCTCTCCTCTTGCTACATGTTGACTCCTCCCTACTAATTCCTCGAATCCTCCCTGTCTCCTAGTCCCGCCTATCTTCCTTTCCTATTGGTCAACAGTGCTTTATTTATTAACCAATATGAGAAACATATACAGAATGACATCTCCCATCATATCTACATTTGCCTCGGGGCTTTTTACCTTTCTCTCATTCGGTATGTCCTGCTTTTCTGCTCCTTCCGTGTCTGGCTGACTGGACCTCTGCGGCAGGCTGGCCAGCTCCTTTTTCTCTCTGCCCACCAGCCCCGCCTATCCCTCCTCTGCCACCCAGCTATTGGCCGTTCAGATTTTTATTAGACCAATCAGGTGCCTTAGTCAGGCAAGAAGAAAGAGCAACACATCTTTACATAGCTGAACAAATGCAGCATAAACAAAAGCAACACACCTTTACATAGTTAAACAATTATTTTGCACCACAAACGAATGTAACACATCTTTACATAGTTAAACAATAATTCTGCACCACAAATGAATGTAATAACCTTTATATAGGTAAACAATTATTTTGCACCACAAACGAATGTAACACATCTTTACTTAGTTAAACAAATATTCTATTCCACAACAGCCGTTTTCTCCTCGGGTCACAAACTACAACACAGCCAGCCCAGGAAGCAACAAGGTAGACAGACACAGATGTCTCAGAAGCATGACATCTCAACCTCCTAACTACAAGCTGCCCACACCACCCCTGAAGAAGGTCAGCAATCGCCACAGCTGCCCCAGACCTGCCTGTTTTAACCCTCCAAATCTAGCAAACCGCTAGGTATCAGGCAGGCCACTCGCCTTACCCGTCCAGCATCATCCGCAGATCAACACTTTCAACAAATGTTTTTCCAGAGCTGCAAGGTCCAACATGGCAGCCCTTAGCCACAAGCAGCTACCTGAATTTTAACCAATTACAATTAAGTGTCAAGTTTGTGCACTAGTCACATTTCCCAGTTAGCTAGCAGGTACCACATCGGACACAGAATCTTACCAACAGAGCAGTAGCTTCTACAGGCCAGTGCTGTTCTTGGCATCTCTGGATGCCCTATGAGTATCTCAAT